GTAGACTGGTTGTAGGCAGCTCAGGTTACCTTGGGTGCATCCTGCTTTGTGATTAGGGCTTTGAATACAGAATCTGGTCAAACTCAGCATTTGCCCCACCAACCAACAGCAGGCCTGCTTAAATGTGGGAGAAATCACTCTCTCCTGAATTTAGGTGGACTCGAAAGCATCTAAGGCAATTGCAAGGGTCCAAGAGCTCACCACATGTTCTCTGTTAGGGCCTGTGGGCACCCGCTGAAGAGCTGTCTCACGCAAGACCTTGTGTCACTGCACGCAGGGCAGGGGCCATCGTGGCTGCTCCAAACTCCCCATGCAGCAAAGTTCTCGGGCAGCTGCTCTCAGCAAGTGTCGTCCCCGGGACCGCCTCATTCAGGCAGTGCAAGAACACTGGGAGAAACAGGCTCCAGTGACTGAGCTAAGGGGCTCTCACTGGAAATTGATTTAAATCATAGAATGGTTTGGGTTGGAAGGGACCTTAAAGATCATCAATCTCCAAACCCCCTGCTGTGGGCAGGGACACCTTCCACCAGACCAGGTTGCTCAAAGCCTCACCCAACCTGCCCTTGAACACCTCCAGGGAGTTACCATATTAATTAAGAATTAAACCTGCTCCCTTGCTTTTGTGGGAGCATGGCCAAAGGGAGATGTTCTGCATCATGTCCTGAAGGTTGAAGATGGCTCCTTGTTTCTCTGAGATGGCATGTCAGCCATCTCATGCTGCCTTCCCCACTTCTATCTTCTTATAACCAAGCTTTGGTTTTCCTCCTTGCCACCCTTGTTGCTCTCCAGTTGTTTCCACCTTGTCCAAAAGATTTCATGGCCACTGGTGGGGGGATTCTGGATCCATGTTGGTATTTTTCAAGGCCAAACATTTACATATGATAATTCCATAATCGTGACCATGCTTACATTCATATATCCCAACCTAGCCAGCAGCAAAGTCAGTCGGCAGCTGCCTGACCCCTTGGAAAACTTGAAACTAATTCTTTGCTAACATATGTTATGTCTGAGCATGTGAAAAAATAGCTCATCTCTTCTCATCATGGGATAGAGTATTAATTTTTAAAATTAGAAGCCACTAAAAGATCAGTTAGGAAAATAGTTAGTTCTCAAATGGGTTTTTGTTAATTGCTCTAATTTAATTTCAGTCCTGTTGGTTTTGATTTCAAAGTCACACCCAGATTGATTGGCCTCCTTTGTAATAACTGTGGGATCCGTGGCTGGCTTCGGATGAGGCAGAGAGGGAGGTGGTGGAAGACTTAGGCTGGAAACACCAGCAGATCCAGGATAACTGTCTCATATGTAGTGAATGTGGACTGCCCGGGAAGTGCTGCCTGGGCTTGCAGGCAGCAGAAGCAGGGCAGAACTGTGCCTGCCTCTTTGCTCTGTTGCCCTCAGTATTTCTGTGGCCCTTGTCAGCCTCATGGCCTCAGTTGTTTACCAACGGGTACCGGAGCTGGGATGCCCAGGAGGAAGGTCTGCACCCCCACCGCAGCAGACGTGGGAGGCCGGCCGGTCCCCCCAGTGCAGACACCGCGTCCCTGCGGGCAAGCAGCTGCTGGGACCCGCAGCTCGCCAGTGCTGGGGTCTCTCAGGGATGTTGGGGAGCTATTTCCCTCAGAGCTAGAAAGCAATCAGACGGAGACCAAACACCCAGCAAAACTCCCTGGGGAGGGATTCTGGCGATGGAGAGAAGCGGCTCTTGCAGCATGTCCCCGCTGCGCTCCCAGGGATTACAGCCCTTCCCTGCCTCCCAGTACCCCGTGTCCAGCACGGAGCCGTGACAGGATGGCATCCCACCCACAGCAGTGCAGGGGGGGCATGCACTCCCTGGGTCAGGGACATAAACATATGGAAGAAGGTTGATCCTCTTTCCTCAGGACACTGCTGTCAAGTCGTAATTTTGCATTTACCAGTTTCCATGGCAACACGTTGGCTCACAGCCTGCCAGTGACAGGCCAAAGACATGTGCATGCTAGAACTGCTTCCTGCTGGCAAAATAAGCCCAAGGATAAACATTTTAGAGAAAACTGAGCACCTGCCTCCTCCAGTGTCTGAGGCTCCCTCAGCTGCAAAGGTGTGACCCCAAAGCATCTGCCTTTGCTCTGCCCCCAGAATCGCTCCCCATCCCTGCTTCTGCTCCCTGCTGCCGTTAAAGCATGCTGTTAAGTGCAGAGGTTGTCAGGCTGGGGCTGGGGCCTGGCTACAGAGACCAGACTCAAGCAGCTGTTGATCTGGGATATTTCTGAGACCCCTTGTTGGATTTGCCCCTTGTTGAGCAGTCAGCAGTGCAGGAGCCCTTCTCCTGGCAGATCTGGATGGGTCTGTTCACACCTGCTCTGGCACCCTCAGCTCTCAGGCTCTCCTCTCCACGGGGTTTCCTCAGTGCTTGAAAACACCTCGAGGGCAGAGTGCTCACTGCATTGGACCTACCTCCTTCTGGTGCTGGCTGCGTGCAATAAACATTTAAAATTGCTCCGTGCATGCAGACTGAGTATCAAGGAAGGGCTTGTGACTTTGCATATCTCCATTAAGTAACTGGTGGGCCCGAGTTTAGTAGGGAGACCCAAAACTGGACATGGGATATGGGTGTACATCACTACCTCCAGCATGTTAGAAGGGGTCTCCAGGGAAGATCATCCTAAACTGTAAATCTCAGAAAGGAAGGCTTACTCTGTTACAATTAATTCAAGAATAATGGGGTTCATACATCTGGCTCCACTTAGAGATAACAGGGATCTCCAGATAATCCTCTGGTCTTCCTTCCAGGTCAGAGTGGGGTTTCCAGAGGGCTAGAAGTAGAGCACTGGTGAGGGACTTTCACAGAGAAAGTACACACGGCAAAAAGCTTCATGGACTCTGCAGCACCTGGCCAGGTGCACAGGACCAGTTCTTTAAAAGTTTGATCCAAAGACCTGATAGAGTTGTCTGCTGGACCCAGGCAAGATGGGCCCTGCCGGGATGTGGAGGTGTTGGGAAGTGTTGTCCATAGGGTTTCCCCTGGCTCTGTGAGTCCCCGGCAGAGCTGGGCACAGCCCTGTGTCTGTGTCCGCTTTGCCTGCATTAGACAGCACACAGAGGATTAGGATAGGAGACAAGGAGAACACAGTTACCCTCTGTGACTCATTCCTCCACCACTCTGTGCCTGGCTTTCCTCCCTGTGTGTTTAAAGAGCTTTGAGATCTCTAGAAAGAAAGCCTGACTGAAGCTCTTTTTTTTGTGATCAAGTTTTCGTCTGATCCCACTGGCCTTCCTAGAGTTGGAGATGTCTTTGAAAATAAGGGAAATATATGTTGTAAGGAGGAGAGGAGCAGTTAACCGTGTGTCACCTTCCCTCTTGTTTTTTAAACTTACCGACAAAACTTCTCGTGCCATCAGGCAAAGGAGTCAGGTTTTTTTCAATGGGTATTTGCTGGAGGGAGGGGAACAATTCTGATTCCCCTTTCTGAACTGCATGTTCCATCTGTAATTAGTAGCAGGCTGGGGCAAGCCTGGCTTGCATGAAGAGGAAACTTCTCTTTAAGGTGGAAGAAATTATTGGCTGGAATTTTATTTCCGTCTCAATTTAAATAAAACACAGTTGATGGGGAACCTAGAGAAATTACCCAGAAAGAATTGTGTGCATCAGTGGAAGTACAGCATACAGCTCCCTCTGAGCTGCCAAAGCGACACCGTTTTTCATCTGAGATCTGATTGAGGCTGCTGGCTCCCAAGAAGCTAAGGTTGAGTTTTGACTCTCTGACTGCTCTGGCAAATGGTTAAATGCCAGTTGTGGAGAGAGCCAAGGGAGTTTCTGTTTGCAGAGATGTAGCGAACCTGCCCCACTTAAGGCTCAGCCTCGAGACAGGTCGATCTTCAGCTGGAGTCAGGGGAGGTCTGGGTGCCTCGCCTGGCAGTCTCCTAGATGGGGATGTCTTTACAGTTTTGTGTGCTCTTTCACCAAGGAGGATTGCTGGGGTGATGAAGTAGGCGTATCATTAGATTGGAGAGGGCTGGCAGTTCAGTTTGGGACAGGCTGACCATAGGACATCCTCTGGGAGTAGTGTCCTACTTTCGGTATCACCAGGAATCCCTATTGTTAGCGTGTAAGTGGAGCCAAGGGATACCCTCCTCTCCTGTTTCTGTACAGTAGTCCCTCAGGCGATGCTAGTTGAGGCAGATTCATTGCTGGGGTCTTCCTTGTAGAGCTCCCTGCTGCAGATTATTCCCCACCCACAATGAATGGGGCTGTGGTCTTCCCTGTACAGCTCACTGGTCTGGAATGAAGGCAAAAAAAAAAAAAATAATACCAAAGCAGCAGGAGAAAAAGAGTGCCAATAAAGATAAATGATTTCCTAATTAAGCCTGGAGACAAGGAGGGGCAAAGAGAGCTGTTGAAGCCTTGTGGGAGCCAAAGTGAACCCAAGCAGGCTATACCACCACTCTGGCAGGGGTCTTCAGGCTGACATTTTTAAACAAAGGAAAAAGCTCATTTGACAATGGATCTTGCAAAACCAATTCCAGATGCCTTGAAGCTAAGACTCTTCTTGAGCACCGGTGTTTTTATAATCACCAGGGGACCTGCTGCCTTGCTAACTCTCACGATGTCATTATAAGCCTCCAATATTTGGGATTTGTTTTTAGCTGCTGAAGGCACTTTATTGGAGGGGGGTGTGAAGGAGAGCATCTCCTTTGTTTGTCT